CTGCCTTGGAGCTGTGTGATTTGGGACCTTTACAGAATGAGGACTGGCCCAGAAGGCAGCACACCTGAAGTCTCACACCTTCAGTGAATCTCAGGTTTCCTTATCTGAGAAAAAACAGCTGGCTGTTTCTGGTCTACAGAGTATGAGAAGAAAAGCTGATGATAAAAGGTACTTCATGAAGCCCAAAAGTGTAGCAATACAGCATTTCTCTTACTGGGTCAAAATTTACATAACATACATTTAACTGTTTTAAAGTGAACAATCAGTGTCATTGGATGCATTCACAATGTTGTATTAGTCAGATTTCTGTTACAGTAACAAAATACCTGAGATGAATCAACTTATATGGAAGAAAGGTTTGTCTTTGTTTATATTTAAAGAGGTTTCAGTCCATGATAGCTTGGGCCCACACTTTGAAAATGCAGCAAGGTAGACCATCATGGTGGGGAGCACATGGTAAAGAAAGCTGCTCATCTTATATTGACCAGGGAGCAGAAAGAGAAATGGAGTGGCTGGAGTCCCAATATCCGCTTCAAGGACAGGCTTCCAACTACTGCACTGATGGTATAAACCAAGCCAAATCTTCACAAAGAAAATGCAAGAATACTGCATTCTTCAATGCTTCAAGAATACTGCAATCAGCACTGCTACAGTTTGGGTCTTGAATGATCAAAGGGCCCTGTGTTAAGGCTGGGTTCCTAGCCCACAGCACAACTGGGATGTACTGGAACCTTTAGAAGAAGGTACCTAGACAGAAGTTAGGTGACTGGATGGAAACTCTTGTGCTTGGTGAGACAGAGTACAGGGCTACTTTCTACTCCCCACCTGACTGGGATTAACTAGAACAGTGCCTGGCCACTGGTGCATAGTGCTGCAGAGGAGGCCTCTCCCAGGGGAATGTTCAGACATGGTTTGGCTAACTCCAGGAGTAGAAACTGTAGGAAAAAGTGCTCTGTAAATTAGTGTGCTGCAAGTGTGCATCATTTCTGCAGCAAAGAACACAAAAAGACATTTGTTTCAGGGAAGAACCATCTCCAGCAACCCAGAACGAGGAAGCTGGTTGTTTTGATACCAGAGAGGAAGGTGAACTGAGGACATTCCTGCACTGGTGCCCTCACAGGAGTAAAAACCAAGGTGCTGTTGCCACAGAGTGTCAGAGCTTTGAGCGGGAATTACTAGCTATGAAAGACTGTATCCCCAGGGTGAGTCCTCACCCTGGGTGGGTCCCTGCCAGGTGGGTCCCCGCCCTGGGCCTGGTAACCTCCACCTGCTGCCTCCTGACCCCGATCACAGCGCTGTGCCTCCCACTGGGCACACAGCCTGCTAAGACCAGAGCTTGGTCTGCACCAGGCTTGGTGTCTGTCTCAACTCCACAGGGCCTCAGCTGTCTGGGGATTGAGCTCCTGCAGCTCTTCAGAGCAAGTGTTTTAGATTTGTGCCTTCACTATTGAGTTCGGTCCCCAAGGGTCCACATTACAGCCCAGGAGGCTTCTTCTTTTCAACTATCCAAGGACCTCAGCCAGCTTCCCCTGCCCTCTCCAGAGTTGCAGTCTCTGATGAGGAGTCCCTAGGATGTGAGATCACCCCAGCGCCCACCGAGAAACACAGTGGCCACAGTGAGAGCAAGTTACACAGGTTTGCTCTCACCACCTGCAGAGCTGGTGGGTACAAGTTGGTCACTTGTACTTTTGGGTTTTATTCCTGAAAGAGATAAGCACTGCCACCACCACCCTACCTGCCCTTTCCTTCTCATATCTATTTTTGTACAAAAGACTAACTGGATCCCTTCCTCCAAAAAAGCACCTGTTCCTATCAGGAAGATGACGGTGACTTAAGCATGGCCCTCATCTCTGTGGGTCTCAGTCCCTCGAATCCTTTAGGGCTTTTTCCACTTTCTGGAAGATGCTTTGGACTGCCAGCACATGACTCACTGCCAGTCCCCCTTTCCTTGCCCTTTTCCATATTAGAGGCCACTCTAGGGGGCTTCTTTTGCAGAGTGACACATTTGAGCTGAAGTCATTGAGAAAGCTTTGGGGAAAGCTAGTTCCTTCTGTTTAAAAGGGGAAAAAATTAAAAAGATAGCATTGGTGTTTTCATATTCCACCCCTCTCCTGCTCCCTGCCTTGTGCTCAGAGAGCCATTTTTAAACCATGAGGCAAGAAGCCAGAACACTAAGGATTGGTTGGAGGCAGGAACATAGATGATCAGCCACTAAGAGACAAAATCCTGAGGCTGAAAGACTCCCTAATATTATTAGATCTTTGGCTGCAGGAAATTTTACAAAAATTATTCCTAACTGATGAACACCTCATAAGATGCAAGTGGATACAGCATCCCCTTAAGTGATGGTGTTAAATAGAGGAGAAGACACAGCACCAGGAGGAGCTAAGAAACTCTCAGAAACTACCACTTTTACTTACCATGCTGGGGCTCAGTATTCTGAACGTGGCCTTGCAAGTTAGAGCATTCTAAAAGAATTCATGCCTCCCTGACTCTGGCCATTTGGCTTGAACCAACCAGGCCTAGGGAAAGAAGCCATCCCTGTGGAGGTTTATGGTGAGCTAATGGCTTTATGGAGCAATACTATTAAATCAGGGTCACTTGACTCCGTCTGTCTTGGCTGAAGCTACTTTTTTGTCTCTGCCAGCCCAAAGCTTAAGAAGATTATATTTTCAGAAATTCATAAACTTTTGGCTCTTTATCCCATCAGTGCTGCTTTTAGACCTCAGAGCCCCTGCCTGAGCTCTGGAAACCTGTGGTCCTTCATCCAGCTGTAGTGTCTCCCACGGCAGGTGCTCTATTCCCACTGTCATCAAACTGTTCCCAATGTACTGGGCATCCGAGATCCGGGACCTTTCTGCCAGGTGGCCTAAGTACCTCCCAAGACCTGCATGGGCCTCTTCCTGTGCAAAGTCACTGTGGGGCCTGAGAGGCATGGTTAGGGGCATTTGTTTGTAGTGGGTCTCTGTGGTTTAGGAAGAACCCCCAGGCGGGAGGTGGGTAGGGTGGGACTGCACTGCTGCTATGAGTCATTGTTGGCTGAGGCTTCTGTGTGCACAGAACCAGGCCCCAGAGGCAGCAGCTGACTGAATTGCTTCTCTATGTTCTGTAGCCTGTGTGGGCAGCTACAGTGTGGATGTGCTGGTTTCTTCACCCAGGGTTCAGTATGAAAAGGGTTAGTGTTGGAAAAAAAACAAAAAACTGAAATTACTGGAGACTTCTTCCCCTTTGCCCTGGAATGCATTCTTATTTTTCTTTTTTTTCCTTTTTTGGTACTAGGCATCAAACTTGGGACCTTGCGCTTGCAAGGTAGGTGACAGAACCACTGAGCTAAATCCCTGGCCCTGTATTCTTATTTTAAAAAAAACAAAAAACAAACGTGGTGGGAGGGCCTGGCTGTGTTGCAAATCTGAGGAGCCAAAACTTTAGTGCCTTTGTGTGTGTATGTGTGGTGCTGGGAATGGAACCCAAGGCCTCACACATGCTAGGAGGCATGTGCTGTACCACTGAGAATGCACCCTCAGTGCACTTCAGTGCCTCTTGAGGTTTCGGCCAGACTGCTGGTCTCTCTGTCACTGATGGGGCCTTGGGATAAGCCTGGTCTTCTCAAGGTGTGTTCATATGTAGGGTGTGGACAGCAGGGGAAGGGAACATGAGGAGACCTGTCTGAGAAAGGTGGATGATTCCCTAGTTTCCACTTTGACTGGCAGGGGTGTGTTCCTGCTGCTCTGACAAAACACATGAGAATAATAAGTTTAAGGAGGAAAGGGGGTTTTGGCTCAGTGTTTCAGAGGTTTTAGACCCTGGACAGCTGACTCCATTGTTTCTGGGCCTGTGGTGAGGCAGGGCATCATGGCAAAAGAAAGCTGCTCATGGAGGCGGGGGCGGGAAGAGTCAGAAACAGAAGAGACAGAGAGAGAGGAAGGGGATTGGGACCATATGTAGGCCCCAAGGTCACACCCCTTGACCTGTTCCCTTTAACCAAGCTGCACCTCCTAAGTGTCTGTGACTTCCCAATAATGCCATAAGACTTTGAATCCATCGCTGGCTCTATCCACTGATGAAGTTAGTGTCCCCATGATTCAATCGCCTTCCAAAAGTCCCACCTCTGAGCATTACTGCATTGGGGACCAAATCTTCAATACATGAACCTTTCAAGGATGCTCCAGATCCAAAACATAACAAACAGTATCTTTCTCTAGTACCTGCTTCCCAGTTTGCCCTCAACTCAGAAGTGTTCAGCTGCCATGATTGGTGCCTCGAGAAATTCAAAATAAGAGTGTGACCTGCTTTTGGTCCTCAGGAGTCTCGGTGGTGTGGTTCTGGAGGAGGATGTGTGCGTATAAAACAGCAGGATGTGACCATGTATCATTAGACACTTGAATAAGTTCCGTGCGTAGTTTGTATGGTAGGAATTTAGAGATTAAAGTGTGGCGTGGAGGTTCTGCCCTCTCTGTTCATCCTTCCAATTGTGCATTTACTAATCTGCAATTTGCTCTTTTTACTTCACATCATTTAGCATTCTTTCTTCACATCACTGGCTTGATCGACATAATAGATCAAATTCTGAGCTTTCTAACCTTCACTTGTTCCCTCTGAATTTCTAGAATATGCACATGACTCAGTTTTACACTGTATCAGTTTACAATTTTGTCAGTTATTGTTATCATCTTTTGCTTCCTTTATGAGAGTAGTTTTGAGTAAGATAGTCACCAGCATGTGACTATTTAAATTAAGATTAATTAAAATGAAATGAAATTGAAAATGCATTTCTTAAGCCACCCTTACCATGTTATAAGTGCTCCATAGTCACATGAGACCAATAGCTCCTGTGTTGGACAGCGCACATTATTGAACATTTCCATCACCACCAAAAATCCTTTTGGCCAGGACTGATCATACTTAATTCAGTTCTTAAGTGTTGGTTATCCACAGCTAGAAGATTCATTGAAACCAATTGTTCCATTCACAATAGAAATAAGACAGTGGATTCTTGAGAATTTACTTAGGACATAGGATTTATCTGAAGAACAATGTCATCTTTCGTTGAGACAGTATGTGTCTTTCATCTTTGGTAAAGAAAGCTAACCTTGCTTTCCCAGCAAGCTTGAATGTGCTCCCCAGATTTCCACAGCTGTCTGTTCCAGGCTGCCACGGAATTCCTAAAGCAAGAGGATGTGAAAGACGACAGGTATTGCTGAAACTGTGTAATTGTTAGCATTTGGTGGCCACTTCGAGCTCAAAATGATGTAGTAAACAGATTTACTAACTTTCTCCTTCCCAAATATGCCACTGAAATAAACAGAGAAGTTCAAATGAGAGAGTGCACACCTATCACCCCAGCTGTCCAGGGGCTGATACAAGAGGATCCCAAGTTTGAGGCCAGCCTGGGGAGCTTAGCAAGATCTTGTCTGAAAAAAAAAATAAACAGGGATGAGCGTATAACTCAGTGGTAGACCACTTGCCTATCATGCATGACACCCTAGGTTCAATTCACAGTATTAGAAAAAAAAATTCAAAGAGTAAATTCAGGACTGCACTAATAACAGAAGAGGACATTAGTGGCTGAGAGATTTTCTTGGGATTATATTGAAGGCTGTATAGCAGTGATGGTGAACCTTTTACAGCTTTTGATGATATCAAACAGCCCACTGCAGACACATGTCATCAGTTCACCACCACTGCTCTATAAGCTCTGTCCACCAGAACAGATAAGAGGGAAGGCCTTGGCAGAAGGGGAAACCATATGTTTGAAATGAAAGAATTCCAAGAGTAGAAGTAGACTGTAAGGTAGAAATCAGGGTAATTGACCATCTGTATGGATTACTATCTATATGAACAAAACTGAAGTCTTAGTGTAGCTATTGTCAGTGTCTCAAGAAAAAATCTTTCACTTTTCCATAAGGTGGAAATTATCGACCGTGCTGTCCACTCCCTTCACAGACTAACATTAAGTCAGCCTGCCCAGAGATGTGCCCCATGTGGAGCCTCTTGTTCAGGGAGACAGGACCAACCTGAGAGGCAGAAAAGCCACCATGGCTGCCTACATTGGGAAACTGGTTCTTCAGTCAGTGATTCTGAATAACTCATTCATGGCCACTAGATGTTTGAGGCCAACATGTATACAATATAATATTGCTGTCAAGAAAATTGCTCTTTTTAGGATCAACCCATAGGTATAGCTCAATAGTGTTAGTTATAGTTACAGAATAGAAAATAAATTCTTAAGCTTTGACAAGCCAAAAGTAAAGCAGTGGTGAAGGTAAAGTAAAGACTAGAAGAAAAAAGTATAGGAACACTGAAGTCCTCATCTTGTACAATAGGAAGGGAAGAGATAGCATCTAAAATGGATGGGTCAGGGCCAGGGATTTAGCTAAGTGGTGCTGTGCCTGCCTTGAAAGTGTAAGGTCCTGAGTTCGATCCCTGGTACAAAAAAAAAAAAAAGGATGGGTCAGGAAACAGAGGTTTAAGTATATGACTTAAAACCCTAGTGATAGAGGTAAAAAATGGTCAACTCATTGGCCAGATTAGGTGCAGAGAGCTTTTGTATTTGGCTGGCGGTGGTCTCCAAAAGTTTGAACTAAGATGTACAAATGGGAAGCTTACAATTTATTTATGAATGTTTGTTCATAAAAATGAGATCTGGCAACATTTCCACTTTCTCAGTGGGTGGCATTCACGGGTCTTGCCCACATTGCTAATCTCCTTATTCCCAGCTACCTCCTAACACAAAGGCCAAGTGCCTGTTGCTCATTCTCTTTGCTGCTTCTCTTCCCTTCCCGTTCCAGGTGGACAGCAGAAAATGGGCAGAAACAGCCTCCAGATGTTTCTTGCCTGGATCCACTTTCTGTATTTAGGTTTCCTGCCCAAACTCTGTGGACATTTGAGTTTGTGGCCTCACCATAAATGCCCAATAAGAGATCTAAAAATCAAGACAGGTTGGAAAGAGGAGAGCAGTGTAAGCCATAGAAAATTTTCGTCATTCAGAGTGGAACGAGTGATGTCTAATTTCTTAAATCAAAAAATAGAAGCCAGGTGTGGTGGCACAGATCCCAGCACTCTGAGAGGATGAGACAGGAGGATCACAAGTTCCAGCCCCACCTGGGCAACCTAGGGACTTACCAAGGCCTGTCTTAAAAATAGATACATAAAAATTAAAAGGCTGGGATGTAGCTCTGTGTGAAGGCCTTGGGTTAAATCTCCAACTCTGAAAAAAAAAATAGATACGAAGAAGTTGAGAGTAGAATGGTGGTCACCAGAGGAAAGATTAACTAAGGGTACTTAGTCACAGTTAGGAGCAGGAAATTCTGCCATATGGCAGGAAGTTCTGTAAAGCTATAAGAAAGGATTTTGAAAGTTTTCAGCATAAAAATTGATCAATGTTTGAGGAGACAGATATGTTTAATCTGACTCAAAAATTACACAATGTGTACATCTATCAAGACATTATATTGCATCCATTAATATATATAGTTTTCATATTTTTGTGTCACTTAACAGATACAGAATATTACTTAGAATTATGAAAGGGATAGAAAGAGTAAGAGAAAAAGAAACCCTTTGCCAATTTATAACCTCAGTTTTCCGCTTGTACTTTATACATATTCATATTGCTGTAATTTTTAAACAGTAGCTAGAAATTATCTTTATAATTTAAAAAGTGTAATAAAATGCATATAAAAATATTTGGTACAGCTCTCTGAGTTCAGTGTCCAGATTCTATCTGGTAAATGTTCAAAGTTGAAGAGACAATTTAAATGGAAAAAAAACAGTAGACAAAGTTTGGGCACAGAAAATATGTAACTGCATCAAAATACATTACACAACACTGCTGACAATTAAACAAGTGGAAATTAAAATCCCTTTCAAGTATTTATGTACCTGAAAGACTAGCAAAATAAAAGCTACCAAGAGCCCACTGTTGAGGCTGTGAGGAGATGAGAGGTTTCCTTTGCTGGGAGCACTAAGGATTGGTGTAGCCTTCTTGGGGCTCAGACTGGTAGGATGTCACAGGGGCAGTAAAACCATAGATATGCTGTGCACAGATTCCACTTCCGACACCAGCTTAACTCTTAAAGGACAAGGAAAAAAGATGTTCAGAGCACTTTTCATAACAGCAAAAAGGAACCAGTTTGTGCTCAGAGGAAGATCATTAAATACCCATCAATGTGGCAGATATTACATAATCGTGTACTTGGCATTTTTGATACTTCCTTTCATAAGTGGAAATGTGTGTGAATAATGTAAAGCGGAAAGGACACTGTGCACAGACTGGTAACAGCTACATAAAATCATCGACATGTTCACTGCATGAAATTTGGAAGCGTGTGAATAGCATTTTTTGTTGGAAATTCTTTAAGTGTCTACATCTTTAAAATGTCTTGGTGACAGGTTTTCTATCAGAGAAAAGAAGCTGGCGCTATCCAGATACATCTGTCTTTGCTAAGAAGGCCTGTGGGGCCCTATTGTTTTAACTGTTTCTGACTGTCCTGACTGTCTGCCTTGAAACGGAAACAAACCTGCGTGCCGCAGTGAGCCATGAGAGTCAGGCCCTGATTCAGGTGTTCTTACCCTCACAGTGCGCTCTGCTTGGCCAGGGCCAGGACACCAGGGCTGGGCATTAGTGAGGGTCTGCAGAGGCGTGGGGGACGGCACCCGAGTGAGGTCATTTGTCCCTTTTGTGCAGTTCCACAGAACTGGGTATGTTCAGACCTTACTATATGTAACCTCCTTCAAAGTTAGTAATAAAGATGCTACTTTTGGTTTTTTATAAAACTGACCACTAGTTGAGTTTCTTGTGTGCTCAAGATGCTGGGGATTCATAGAAAAAGCAAATGTGACTATCACCTTCGCTGATCTCACAACTAATGAGCTATCTACTTGGGAAACAGAAAATTAACTTTTTCCTCTTCTATGAACCTTTTTCCAGCTCGTCCATCCCCTCGTATTCTCTTCCATTGCCACATTCCAGGAGGGTTATACTCTGCACTCTACAATTTAGAATTTAATTAGATAATTAACATAATGTGCTGTGGAAAGATCTCTGGACTGAGGATCTAGTTGCTATGGAGTTGCTTTAAAACTTTAGACAGACTACTACGTCTCCTTGAACTTTAGATTCCTTCTTATAAAGTCATGGTTTGGATGACCCTTAAAAGGCCATTTGAGTTCTGAAATCCTGTGACTTAGATATTATAGTGTGTGATCTGTTTCACATACCTTATTTTTTAAAAACATACTTCACTGCCAGCTCCTACTGGGTGCCTGGCAAAGAGAGATTATTTTTTGTTCAGTTCACAGATTTTTCTAAATATTCTCTTGCCTTCTCTAAGTAATGTTCTGTATTTATTCCAGACAGATTTTGAGTGTTTGGATTTGATTCACTCAATCAGTGCTTACTCTGCACTTTACCATGAACTGGAAGCTTGATGTTTAGTGCTGAAGTAGGTGAGGAGGGCAGAGTCCTCATTAGCGAGGATGTTGATTTGCAATCTATAAACCAGGTTGGGAGTTGAACCAAATAATCTAAACAGTTGTTTCCATTTTTAACATCTTATTCTCTACTCAGGGTCTGTTTGTATCTTGGTGGTAGAGTTTCCTTTATAGTTTATTCTGATTACATCTTATTTTTAATAATATGCTATACTTAGTGTAGCATCTTACAGTGTACAGACCTCTTCTAGGTTGAGAGTAGTGCATGCTAGTTGTCTCTCTTTCACTCCTCATCACTTGGAGAACATTTTGCAGAATTCGGTGAGGTGACACGTGTGCGGGGAGCACCAGGGACTCAGGACAGTGGTCTCCTGGAGAGCCAGATGAAGAATGAGACCTGACATATCTAACCACCTTTCCTGAATCAAATCTCTCCATCCATCTGCGGGTGGCAGAGGCATGAAGACTTGTGGCCTTGTGTTCCCAGGTGTTTGTCCTTCTGCACCTTCCAGGCTGACCTTTTGTGAGGTCCTTCCCAACAAGGGGCTTTAAGTGGACCAGAACCTTTCCATGCTTTTGAGTCCAGGCTTGCTGCCTGGCTTTCAGCTTTCTCAGTTATGCTAGGTCAGTTCTCTTACAAGCTTTCTACTCACTGCTTTGCTGCCCAGGCCTGTGCCATGCACCAAGGTCCCTGAGCAGGTCCTCTTAGACTTCTGTCATCTTCACTAACTGGAGTCCACACCCTAAGCATATCAGAGTACTAACCAGCTTCTTCCAAATGTCACCTCTTCCAGGGAGCCCACCCTGCTTCTCCTTGCCTGCTGTGCTGTATACCTTTGGCTTTGTGTTCTGGATGTTTAGGTACTTATCAGAAGAATGACAGCCCCTTGAGAGAAATTTCTTACTCATCTGTGGGTTCTCCAAGGCCTCTAGGATGGAGCCCCACCCATCACTGAGTGAGGATGGATTTAAATACAGTATATTAGGGTGCCGCAGTCAGCCTGGTGATGCCAAAATGCCATCCTTTCAACCGTCTTTGGCCGGGAGTCTGTTGATTTTCACAGATCTGGCTTCTCTTCACACTGCTAGAGTGATCTGGAGGGAGGGCTGGCCTGGTGGTCATGTGCCTGGGTATTGGTCTCTAGTGCACTCTGGCCTCTGGACTTGAGTTTCTTCATCTATGAAATGAGGAGGTCAAACCAGATGACTTCTGGGCCCTTTCCTGCTCCAGAACTCCATGATGTCCTAAGCACAAAATGTAAACAAGATTTTGGAGTAGGGACCTAGTTGTCCTCTTAGTGTGTTCACCAGTTGACCCCTGGTGACCTGGGATGGTTGTGGCACTCAGGGCTGACTGCACTAGGCAGTTTGCAGGTTGGTTCGCTTTGATAACATTAATCACATGCAGGACCCCTGGAATAAAAAGGTGACAGAGACCAAGATGCTGCCCTTGCATTCAGAAGATTCACATCCTGTAATCACTGAGGCTCTAGATCTGCTCCTCTCATGCCTGTGCCAGACACCCCAGCCCTGAGTGCTGGGTGCTGTGAAGGAAGGTAGGACTCATGCTCTGATGACCCCTTCAAGTGTGGTTCCTGTTCCCTGCCTCTGCTCAAACCTATGAAAAGAAATAGGTGGGGACAGTGATGGTGAATAGATACCTGTGTCCTGATAGCTGGCTGCATGACGGTGAAGCTGAGGAATGGACTTACTTGTTTGTCTCTCATTTGATAACACACCAAGTACCCAGGCAGCTCCTCTATGAAGTGCAGGTCCTTCTCACCCAAAAACCCCAGCGGGGCTGCAGACAGGATGGGATGGGGCCTGCTGGGAGCTGGAGTGAGAGGCTGTGCACCATCTCACCCTGGGAGGGAAGGCTGCCTGTGAAGTGTGAAGGACTTGGCTCACCCTAGCTCCAAACCCTGGCAAGCCAGACAGGGGAGAGAAAAATAAGCCTGGAGGAGTCTGAGCCAGGAAGGCAAGGAAAATCAAATCAAATCTGGATCCTGATTTAAAAGGCTTTAGGCTGAGGGAGCCAAGCACCTGAACATACTTTCCACAGCCTGTCATGCTGGGCTTGCATCACCCACAAGCAGTGAGGGCAAGTGGAGCCCACTGTGCCCAGTGGAATGCCCTACTCCTGGGCTGGAGGACAGGAGACCTGCCCCTACAGCACACAGGGGAAGGGACTTTCTGAACAGTCTAAGGCCAGTCAGCCCACCATGCATACAATGAACCCTGGTGTTTGATTAGTGGATTATCTGGGATGGAGCTCTTTAGTAATAAAGTCAAATTGGCCCCCACCCTCACCCCTTTCATTGAAGTTTGGGATGAAACACTATTCACCTTAGTGCCTGATTCCCAAGTGGAGGCTCTGTAGAGGGTTCATCGGGATCCACTGAACACCCAGACTTACCGAGGTGAGACCAAGGGCTCTGCTTGGAACACACTGTCCCTCGGCAGGTTACTCTATAAGCCGCTAAAGGGAGAGCCACTGGTCTCCAGAGATGGAAGCAAAGGTCACACTGCAGGTTTTAGTTGCCCAAACAAAGCACGTGGGAAGTGGCCAAGCAGTAGAAGTGGCTGGACTTCTGCTTGTTGCCTAACTTCTGAGCAGCCGTGTCATGGGAAGGGGTCAGTGTAGATGGGCTACTCAAGTTCATGGGTGACTCATCAATTACTGATTCTTGACCCTTTTTCCCTATGTCATCCCCCTAAGGAGTCCCTCAATGAAAATCTAACACTACAGGTGTAATCTCTGTTTATGTACTGTAGGATTCGCATACAGGAGCTTGTACAAAGTAAGATTTTTGCCCTCTCAAATCAATTTTTAGCCTCCTAGGGATGATATTGCCTCCATTTAAAACTGCATCGTATAGATCAAATTCTATAACAATTTTCTATTGCAGTGGAGGTGGGGGACCAGCAAAGAGGGAAAATATGGAAATAATAAACCTGGGATAAGAATAGCAGCAGAAATGAGTACTCACCAATTCTGAACAGCTGGTAGAGGTGGGCTACGAATTTGACCATAAATTTTGTAAAAATCTTTTTGTCCTTATAAAATAAACCCACTGGTTCAGAGATGTAATTACAAGACACAACAGAAGATGCCTGTACCTGAGGATACAGGCATCAGCAAGGGAAGCATCTGGATTTTAAGGGCAGTGAGGGCTACTTGTGCCGAGAATGGAGGAGCCTAGCTCTGCCACAGTTTTCTGCTCTGCCATTCTCTCCTCTCTTGAGCTCAGGCCACCACATTGCCTGTCTGCCCTTGTTCCTAAACTATCTCAGGCCCTTTTATCTGACTTCACCTTGTCTCTCTCGAAGCCTCTGATCTCTGCTGCCTTTACCTGTGCTCCTCGGACCTTTTGTTGCACCATCCAGCTGAGGGTCAGGCCTCCCGAAAGATGCAGGATGAAAGAGGAGTGGAGGGCAGGACCCAAGCATGCAGAGTGTGGTTAAATACCTCTGGAAAGCCCGCTTCACCTTGACTTCTTCTTCAGGGACCAGTGGTCAGCCCTGTGCTTGTGAACAAGCACTGGGAGAGCTCAGCTGATCTTAAGAGTCAGGCCAGGAAACCAAGCACCTCTGTGCAGCGGGGTCCTGGGTAGAGGAGGAAGAGCACAGGTGTTGCAGCCAGGATGTCTGGGCTGGGGTTTCTTCTTTTTCCCTTTGCTAACCCCCACAGTTGAAAGAGGAATAATCCTTCCTACCTCACTGCATTGTTGGAGGGTTGATGCAATCCCAGGTGTGTGCCGGTGTGTAGCAATTACCTAATAAGGCAGAGAATGTTATCCTGCAGTAGTCTCCGTTGTCTGTGGGAAATTCATTCCAAGACTACCAGTGCATGCCTTAAACCACAGTAGTACTGAACCCTCTGTGTGTGATGCTTTTTCCTGTACCTGCATACATGTGATAACATTTAGAAGATTAACTACAACAATAATAAAATAGAACAATTATACATAACATACTGTACAATAACATACTGTAATAAAAGTTATTTAAAATTTTTGAATGGTTTATTTCTGGGATTATCCATTTAATATTTTTGGACAGCTGTTGACTGTGGGTAACTGAAACCATGGAAAACAAAACTTAAAATAAGGGGGAACTACTGTGGAAATATGAGCCCTCTATAGCACCCCTCTAACAAGCTTGCTTCAAGAATGTTTTAAAGTAAAAGTGCAACATGCTATTTACAAATACTTTGGAGAGCAAAAGTAGCAAGAAGATAGTTACATTGTGTTTTGATGGTTTTGGCTTGTATTCCTGAGCTGGGGATTTCTTTTGTTTTCATTGCAGGGATAGCTATGGTAGTATTTATAGGGGAAGGGAGGCTTACACGGAGATCACAGGCTTGGAGTCACCCTTGACTTTTAATTCAGTCCCATCTTTGATTGGCTGTGACTTTGGGTAATTCCCCAGTTACTCTCTAGGTCAATTTCCTGTCTGTGAAGCAGAATAATAACACTACCCATCTTATGGCATTATTTAAATGAAATACAGAATCTAGGCTACACGTGTATATAATAAGTGCTTAGTAGCTTTTAATAATAAATAAAATCTTTTGTACTGTTTTTTATCCTACTTTTTTTTTTAATCCTACTTTTTTCACCTGCCATGTCAGTAATTTTTCAAAGCACTCTGTCGATGTAATTTTAATGGTTAACAGTCCATTAAATTTGATATGCTACCATTTACCAAATCATTCTTGTGTTGGTAGTTATTTAGGTGGTTTCCAGTATTTTCTTTTATAAATTAAATTTGGGTGAACATCTTTGTATGTGAAGCTTTTAGTGCCATATTTAATACAATTTCCTGGGGATTGACAGTTGGCAGTGAAGAGATTAATGTGACAAAAGATTTGAACATTTTTCAGCTGGAGTGCTCTCCGCAGGGCTCATCTTGGGCCTGCACTGTCAGAAAGGGATAAGACATAGCACCAATTTTCATGGCCCATCTCCTCCCTGATCTGTGAGATTCCAGCTCCCTCCATCAATTTGTAGCAACTCCACCAGCCTCTTTCAGCCTCACCTCCTGGGCTGCTTCTTGCCTGGGTCAGCCAAGCTGCTCTCTGAGCTGTGATTCCTCTGTAGACTTCACTGCATCTGCCCTTCATCTGGCTTCTGCCTTCTGGTTCCAGAAAGAGTCCAGCAGGTGCCTGGAAGGCAGGAGGGTGGAGCAGGAAGCCAGAGAGTCGTCAGAGCCTGGGCCCCTTAGTGGGTCTGATGTAGTGGCAGGGGTGGGGAGAAGCAACATCGGGTTTGGAGGTCAGACACTCTGTCCTGAGTGTCTGAGGGCATCAGAAAGCCTCAGATAGCCAGGGTCAGGATGCTGATGTGCCTAAGCTGGTGCCTGGTACACAGTCGGTGATTAGGGTATACACTCAAGGTGGGAAGGGGAAGAGGCCTGATACCAGGGCACCAGGAGATCTGCAACTAAGGAGGACCATCTTCTTCCTAGAGGTTCATTGACCTTGACCCACACAGAATGGGATAGACCACCTAGCTTCAAGTGCACAGACACCTCCAGCCACACAGGATCGGGGATTGGACTTCTCAGTAGACTCTGTTCCTCTTTCACTCTTCTCTACATATCATGGCCCTGATCCACACTGTTACTCATTTTAATCTTTCCATTAGAACCCTATCTTGACTCAGAGTATAATTTGTCAATTTGCCCCACCGAGTCCCAGATGAGGAGCTCTCAGGATGAATACTGTCTCCTCCAACAAGAAGGGGCTCCCCAAGGCACAGACTGAAAAAGGTGATGAGTACAGTCAGCCCCTGCACCTGCTGGTTCCACAGCTCCACATCTCTGGAGTCAACCAACTGCAGATTGAAAGTATTGGGAAGAAAACTGCATTTTTCCTGGACAAGTACAGAATTTCTTGCTTGTTATTATTCTCTAGTCAATAATGTAACCACTATTTACACTGCATTTGCATTAGACTAGGTAGGCAGTATAAGTTCGCTAGAGATAATTTCATTCCGTTTGGTTTAAAGGACTTGATCATCCACAGAGTTTGGTATCCATGGGGGTCACAGAACCAATTCCCATGGATACTGAAGGACATTTGTACTGGACAGGGTCCTAAGAGGCACTAAGTGATGCAGCCTGACTGAAGTATAATAATGTATGTGCATGCCTGTATTTTCTCTGAACTTGGATTTGTTTTCTGGGACTTAGCATTTTAATCTGCCTTCTCCATCCTCACCTTTAGAGTAGGATGGTAGATGGAGATGGAGAGTAGCCCTTACTCCTCTCTGTAGCAGGTGAGAGTGCTCTGTAAGCCTTTGTCCACTGAATGAACATAGCCAGATCCTATGCTCTCTGGTCAGTACATAAAATACAATAAAATATGCAACAGAACTTAAGGCAGGAAACATTCAGAAGACCTCATGAGGAAGTGGCATCCATCTAGGCTTTTCTAGGAGTCATTAATTTGTTCAATTACAAAACAAAGGTGTTGTGCTTAACAGTGTGCCTTCAGAATATCCCCTGGGGGCACTGGTGAAACACCTCACCAACAGCCCAAGTGCTGGTGCAGCTTTTTGACTCTGGAGCTGCCTTGTGTAATCCTATTTGACTTCCCTGGAAGGTGGTGGGCCTCTGTGGAGCAACCTGAATTTGGGGTCAAGTCTCTTAACTTTGAGCTTCATTTTCCTTTCCTGTAACATTAGCATATTGACGCTGACCTGACAGGCTATTGAAGGATGAAACAAAATGATGTGCATAATATTTCTTTGAGTCTGGAGGCCAAACCTCTCACCCCTCCATCCTCATGTGGCAGGAGGAGGACCCATGCCCCTGTGGTCTCCCCTGATCCCATGACAGCTGGTAACCCCAGCCTGACCTGTTGCTGGGCTGCTTAGGAGGAAAGCTGGGAAGTGACAGGAAAAATGTTTCTTGTGCAGTTCATGAGTTAAGAGAATAGTATTACTTAATTGTGGGTTTGATGGAAAACATTATGTGAGGTTGGTTCAGATCTTTCCCCAGATCTGCCAGCAACCTCAGAAGTGGAGCCTTATTGAAAACAGCTGGGGAGAAGGCTGGCGCCCCGCCGCCGTCCGTCCTTGCTTTTCTATGCCCCAGAGCAGTCGAAGGGTGGACTCAGCTCAGTCCCAAGACTCCTCCAGAGGCCCTGGCAGCCTCTACTGGGGACAGGCAGTGGCTATGCCCAGCTTCAGACTCCTTCTCAGAGGCTGAAACCAGTTGAACCTGAGGGGGGATTTGGCCAGGTCACCACCTACTATTTCTTACAGGGCACAAAGCTAGCCTCTCACTTGATCCTTGCAGGATGAGTGCACCAAGGCAAGGTTCTAGGGGTAGGGGTCCCTAGATGGGTGGACACTGATGGGTGGACTGCATTATCCTTGGAGTCTTCTCAGCTGTCTTGTGAGGATGGCATCCGAGTCCAGTGCTTACATGCACCCTCCAAAACCTCACTGTCCTCTGTAGAGACCCCCCGCTTCGCTGGCACACAACCAGTCACCAGCCAGGCCCAGGTCAGCTGGATTTTCCTAGGGACAGGCATGATGTTCCACTCCTTTAGTCTTTCTTTCAGAAGGGGCATTTATTCATGACCAGTCTATTTTTTAGTAAGATAAGTTTTAAGCTTTTTTTTAGCCATTCATAAAGTAAAATATGTTTATTATAAAACAATTTTTCAAATCACAGAAATTATAGAAAAGAAATAATCTTATCACCCAGAGATGGCAGGTTTTTACAGATTGATAGATTTCCTTTTTTAGTTTTTATTTTTATTAGTCCATGTTTGCAGTACATAATGATTACATTCATAGGGAGCTGGTACATGTTCATTACACATCTTAATTAATTTTTCTTTCCCTTCCTCTCCCCTCACTCCCCACTCCCTCCATCTCTTGACTCTCCTCCCCTTTGCAAAAGATCTAGCTCTCTGTTTCCTATTATCTATCTTTTATTTTGCTCTTTAATTTATTTATACTTTGGTTTTCTCATATAAGAGAAACTCTGCAATATTTAAGCTTGTGTGTCTGATTTATTTCACTTAACATTATGGCCTGAGGGTGCATCCATTTTCCTATGAATGACTCAAACTTATCCTTCTTTATAGCAGAGTAGCACTCCATTGTGTATAAATACCATATTTTATTTATCCATTCATCTGTTGATAGACATAGTCTGCTTCCAAGATTTAGCTGTTATGAATT